AATGCTCGTGAGTTTGAATCCCAGTCGGAGGTGTTGTCAGCCCATCCCAGCCGTAGCATTGTCACTCCCAAGTGCCAGTGCCGGTTCGTGTCAAGTCGACAACAGTTGTCCCACGGAGAGATTGAGGACATTGTGGCGATGTGGGATTTCTGCGACTTGCTACGTACTTGACTCGCGCGATAGGATTCCGTGTAGGGTGCTTAACATTCAGGGCGCTCTGTGAGCAGGGCTTCACTTCACATGGCTCTGCCCAGGTGTGCAACCCGGAAAATATTTCTGTGCCGGGCACACAAAGATGAGGTGTCTGCGACAAAAAATCTATATTTCAGGCTGCCCGACTGTGGGCTTTGTGGAAAACGTTGTCTTCGTCAGCAGCATTTATTGAACACAGACGCAGACGCGCAAACAAATAAACACACAGAAGCGGTGTTCTCACACCCAAGCGCTGACGCAGAGGTGAGGGATGGGGGAGTGTGAGAGTGTGAGTAAGCATGGCAGGCGACGTGACGAGAGGTAGCGCGCGGCGTGCTGCCCTCTCCCCACGGCATCCCGTGGCGTGACGCACACCCCCGGCTCCCGACTGCTCGCGCGCTCCCCACTCTCACTCTCCTCACTCTCACTCTTCCCAGACTCACCGCCCAAACTCACTCTCTCCAGACTCACCTCCAGGGAAATGCAACGTTGACTCAGCGCTCTGCCCCGCAACTCGAAAGCGCCCACTTCCTCTCTCATATGTCCTTTGTACATGAGCATGCACAGCCCTTTGCCAATTTACTGCTGGATTAGGGTCTCCCCTCTGATGGGGTCTCTAGACAATAGACTGACAAACCGGTCTCTGATGGGGTCTCTAGACAATAGACTGACAGACCGGTCTCTGATGGGGTCTCTAGACAATAGACTGACAAACCGGTCTCTGATGGGGTCTCTAGACAATAGACTGACAAACCGGTCTCTGATGGGGTCTCTAGACAATAGACTGACAAACCGGTCTCTGATGGGGTCTCTAGACAATAGACTGACAGACCGGTCTCTGATGGGGTCTCTAGACAATAGACTGACAAACCAGTCTCTGATGGGGTCTCTAGACAATAGACTGACAAACCGGTCTCTGATGGGGTCTCTAGACAATAGACTGACAAACCGGTCTCTGATGGGGTCTCTAGACAATAGACTGACAGACCGGTCTCTGATGGGGTCTCTAGACAATAGACTGACAAACCGGTCTCTGATGGGGTCTCTAGACAATAGACTGACAAACCGGTCTCTGATGGGGTCTCTAGACAATAGACTGACAAACCGGTCTCTGATGGGGTCTCTAGACAATAGACTGACAGACCGGTCTCTGATGGGGTCTCTAGACAATAGACTGACAAACCAGTCTCTGATGGGGTCTCTAGACAATAGACTGACAAACCAGTCTCTGATGGGGTCTCTAGACAATAGACTGACAGACCGGTCTCTGATGGGGTCTCTAGACAATAGACTGACAGACCGGTCTCTGATGGGGTCTCTAGACAATAGACTGACAAACCGGTCTCTGATGGGGTCTCTAGACAATAGACTGTCAGACCAGTCTCTGATGGGGTCTCTAGACAATAGACTGACAGACCGGTCTCTGATGGGGTCTCGAGACAATAGACTGACAAACCGGTCTCTGATGGGGTCTCTAGACAATAGACTGACAGACTGGTCTCTGATGGGGTCTCTAGACAATAGACTGACAGACCGGTCTCTAATGGGGTCTCTAGACAATAGACTGACAAACCGGTCTCTGATGGGGTCTCTAGACAATAGACTGACAAACCGGTCTCTGATGGGGTCTCTAGACAATAGACTGACAAACCGGTCTCTGATGGGGTCTTTAGACAATAGACTGACAGACCAGTCTCTGATGGGGTCTCGAGACAATAGACTGACAGACCGGTCTCTGATGGGGTCTCGAGACAATAGACTGACAGACCGGTCTCTGATGGGGTCTCTAGACAATAGACTGACAGACCAGTCTCTGATGGGGTCTCGAGACAATAGACTGACAGACCAGTCTCTGATGGGGTCTCTATACAATAGACTGACAGACCGGTCTCTGATGGGGTCTCTAGACAATAGACTGACAGACCTGTCTCTGATGGGGTCTCGAGACAATAGACTGACAGACCGGTCTCTGATGGGGTCTCTAGACAATAGACTGACAGACCGGTCTCTGATGGGGTCTCGAGACAATAGACTGACAGACTGGTCTCTGATGGGGTCTCTAGACAATAGACTGACAGACCAGTCTCTGATGGGGTCTCTAGACAATAGACTGACAGACCGGTCTCTGATGGGGTCTCTAGACAATAGACTGACAGACCAGTCTCTGATGGGGTCTCTAGACAATAGACTGACAGACCAGTCTCTGATGGGGTCTCTAGACAATAGACTGACAGACCTGTCTCTGATGGGGTCTCGAGACAATAGACTGTCAGACCAGTCTCTGATGGGGTCTCTAGACAATAGACTGACAGACTGGTCTCTGATGGGGTCTCTAGACAATAGACTGACAGACCGGTCTCTGATGGGGTCTCGAGACAATAGACTGTCAGACCGGTCTCTGATGGGGTCTCTAGACAATAGACTGACAGACTGGTCTCTGATGGGGTCTCTAGACAATAGACTGACAGACTGGTCTCTGATGGAGTCTTTAGACAATAGACTGACAGACCGGTCTCTGATGGGGTCTCTAGACAATAGACTGACAGACCGGTCTCTGGTGGGATCTCAAGACAATAGACTGACAGACCGGTCTCTGATGGAGTCTTTAGACAATAGACTGACAGACCGGTCTCTGGTGGGATCTCAAGACAATAGACTGTCAGACCGGTCTCTGATGGGGTCTCTAGACAATAGACTGACAGACCGGTCTCTGATGGGGTCTCTAGACAATAGACTGACAGACTGGTCTCTGATGGGGTCCAGACAATATTAGATTGATTAGGGGGTATCTGATGGGTCCACGTATTGTGTGAATATATATGCTTTGTGTGGCTTCATTGGAATTCACACAACTCACAAGGAAGCCTTGTTTAGCAATGTACATATATATCTTCAGCCAATGTGTTCATTGATGAATGTGGAACCCCACTGTGAGCAATTCCTCTGTGTCTGCAAGCCATGTGTTATTTATTAACCGTTGAATGTTTACATGTGCTGGCATGAATGCTTGGGAGATACCGTTACACACAGACATTTTGCGGTTATATATATGTGTGTTTCTTTCCACGTTCAGCAAGTTTCTTTCTATCGGCTGTCGAGAGAATCGGATACCGTGCGGCCAGATTCAAAAATACTCATGTGCTGGTTACATCGGTTACTTAAAAGCCAGGCGGAAACAATGATTGGATTATCTGAGCTATAACCACTACATGAATGTGTCAGTTTCTCATCATTAATAAACTCATTTGGTTCGTGTGTCTCTGGTCTTAATGAGATGAGGTGGTATATCAGCTGGTAATTCGAAATTTAAATGGTCTACTTTCGTATGGCATTTGAAAAGTAATTAACTCTACTGCCAACCATGACACTAATCCTACCGTTAACACAGTTCGAAACAGTATTAACGATAGGGTTAGTGTTAGAGTTAATATAAGGATTAGGTTCGTTTTTGCAGTCGAGTTCATGTTAACAGTAGCCTTCGTAGAAGACAGGAAAACAGACAGACACAGATAAACAGTCACGGAGACATATGGAGAGACTCGCGCAGACGGTAGAGACACAGATATGGACGCAGAGGGACACAGAGAAGCAGTGCCTCCCTCTGTTTCGCTGTACTTTATGTTGTCCGCTACAAGCCCGCGCGCGCGTAAGGCTGGACATTGGGTTTGATGAACTCCCCGATGTCAGAGGAAAGTAGGAAATGTGTGGTAGGGAAGGAACTCTTGAATAAGACATGCAGGAAAAATAGCTAGGAGGTTTCTTGTAGCGGGAAAATCGAATGACTTGTTATTGGAAATTTTCGGGAACTTATCAAATGCATTTAATGCAAGAAACGTGCAATGATTAACGAATCCTCATCGTGCTTAAGGCTACAGCCGATATTCGGCCAGACTATATGGCGGAGAAAACATTCTGTGGCGGTAATGCTTCCGTTGGTGTTCATTGATGATGTTAATTCCTTTTCAGTTCCTGCTGCCAGTGATGTTGATGTCAATGTCACGAAGCATCAGGATTTGCATTTATAAGAGCACTCGCTTGAATGCCTCCGCAACTCAAAGAGCCTTGTGACCACATCTCATCGCAACCCTCCCACATTGCACCGTTCCATTGTAAACAACGCTCCCACTAATGTTGCGCCCATAACGTGAGACAACAGATCTGAGAGTGCAGTTGTGAGCCTACGAGACTCCCCATAACGGCAGCTGGTCCCTAATGACGTTAGCAATTGTACTGCTTTTGCTGATGTACATATGTATGTTGAACTTCTTTCGTACCGTACGTAGCCAACCGTGCTAATTGGAGTTGCCCAGCAGTAGCGCATTCACCGCTTATTGTAGAGCTTCGCGGTTCACGTTGGCGAGTTGTTATCTCCCTCGCCTGCTATACAGGAGCCTGTGGGTTCGATCCTGACTCTGATGACTGTATATTTGGAGTTTGCGTGTCTCTCTCCCCGTAGTCACATGGATTTTTCTCCGGGTCCTTCGGCTTTTTCCTCCACATTTAGAATCAACGTCACGCGTTTAACGTATTTGTCTTGCTATAAATTTCCACCTAATAAGCCACATCCATTGAGCTATCATTTGTGATGGCCAGTTCACTTTTGAAAAAGAGCTACACCATTCAGTGGGCCTTACCTGGTAAAATGAACCTAGTTTTAATTTAGTGGGTGGTGGTGGTGGTGGTGATGATGATGATGGTGGTGGTGGTGGTGATGATGATGGTGGTGATGATGATGATGATGGTGGTGGAGATGATGATGATGATGTTGGTGATGATGATGACGGTGGTGGTGGTTGCACCGCTCACAGGCGATGCTGGCCGAGGGCCCTCCGTCCGTGCCGTGGACCCAGAGGGCGACTCCGCTCGTACCCAAGCCGCCGCCGTCTCCGCTGCCGATCCGGAAACAGCCGCCCTCAACGCTCCGCATCGCCAGGCAAGCGAGTGTCTCGTCGCGCCGCCGCATTTCTCTCACTCTCTCGCTCACGGAGTCATCGGGAAGCTCCTCGTGCAAGAAAAACAATCCCGTCTTCCGTGTGTTTAAACACTCGCCTTCGGCTTGTTTTATTTGACCAGGTAGGGCCCACTGAGCTGTTATATAGCTTTTTTTCAGAAGTGACCTGGCCACAATTGATTGCCCATTGAGAAGCGGCTTCTCATCATGCGTAAATTTACAGCAGCCAAATACTCTAAACGCATTTTGCTTCTAAATGTGGAGGGAAAAACTGGAGGACCCGGAGCAAAATCCACGCGACCACAGAGAGAGAGCCATGCAAACTCAAAATATAGAGGCATCAGGGTCGGGATCGAACCCACGGCCTCCTGTATATCAGGCGAGGTAGTTGAAACATTCGGTGGCTGTTTCTCAATCCCCTAACCCCTGCCTCTGTCCACCCAGCAGGGTAAACGTGTACACCACAGTTATTCGTTTGGCGGGTCGTGTGCGTGGTGGGGTAAAGTGTGAGTTACACCCGCCTCTTCCAAGATACCTGGGCATCGTGGAAGAGTAGGCCAAGAAATACCCTCGCTCGAGCTACCTTTAGTGGAGGCCCTTTCGCAAGCAGTGGCATGAGTGAGCAATTGCAGGGCTGCGCCTTTACCTTTGGCCTCATTACGTACAATCCTGAGCCCTATCTCAGCTGTTGCTGTGACGGAGGGGCAGGTGTGTACGTGGGATAAGTGATACATTCCACACGTGTTTGCCAAGAGAGCTGCTGATCTCTGCTTTGCACGATCCCTGGGCTAACGGCCCACTCGGAACACAAACAAAATCGCCCACGGGAAGGCTGATCTCTGCTTTGCACGATCCCGGGGCTAATGGCCGCGCAGAACACAAACAAAATCGCCCACGGGAAGACTCAACGCAACCGGTCGTGATGCCACAGGAATCCTGGTGGGGTTCTGCCGCCCTCCCTCCTCCAAAATGAACCATCGTGGCCTCCGTGCCTCTCGTTCACAGACAGCCCCTCGTGGTGGCTGTGTAGTTCCTGAAGTTCAAGGTCAATGCCATTACCGTCACCGCACTTCACCACTGCTTCCTTCCTTCTGCCATATTCCACAGAAGATGCATGGCCGACACCTGACCCTCTAGTATTTGCTGTCATCTTCTCATCCCATTGTGATTGTGGATCTGGGTGCTCCCCACCCCCACGACCATTTGCTGTGCTTCACAATCAACACCGTACGCATCTCCACACGACCCTAGTTGTAGAACATGTCCGTGTATGGACATTGTCTTTGTCAATTTCACTGCAGGATGAAGGCCTCTCCATGCCGTGCCTGGCACGAGTATTGTTTGACCATACTTCGCCACGATGGTCAGCGGTAGCTGGTGAAGGATAGGAGCCCAGATCAGGCTGCGGGGCTTACGTGGTGGGCATTGCAGTGAAACCCATTGTTGTACCGTACTCCAATGCCCCCACGACGTCTGTGCTCGTCATCTTCACCAAGGTGCACTGACCAGCGCGGTGAAGTTGGTCATTAAGCTTCCGTGAACCGGGGGGGGGGGGGGGGTTCCCCCCCCCAGGGTCCCCCCCCCCCATTCCCAGCAGTGTATTGACACGTGCACGTGTTAAGGGGTGGTGGGCGGCAATGGAGGAGGTGGTTGGTAGAGAGGGCTTGGATGGGTGCTCGGGGGGGTGGGGGGGTTGGGGGGGCACCTGTGGTGGGAGATGGCTATCACTGAGAGGAATGGAGCTGGCACGCCAAAGCCTGTGACACGCACGCACGCGCAGGTACACAAGCACTCGCGCATGCAAGCACACAAACACGCACGCACGCAAGCAAGCACAACGACACGCAGAGCCCAGCTTATCTTAATTAACTGTAGGGACAGGTAGTGTTAAGACTCCAGCTGCCTGTCTCCGCAGTGCTGATGATCACACACGCAGTTCCGGGTGCTCGTTTAACCTAGGGCAGTGGTTTCTAACATTTCCGGCCCCGCAACGCCACTGTCAACCCTCGGAACATTTGCGCGGACCGCTACGCACCAATGATTTTTTGGTTTTATGAAGAAATAAAATATGACTCTCCAGCGTAGTATCTGCAATGCTTCCGCAGACCACTTCCCGTGGCCTTGCCGTGGGACCGCAGGCTAGGAACCACTACCCTAGTGGATGCCCAGGATGGGTTCAGGTGCCGCGTGATGTTGTGCCCGGCATGGGGAATCGCAACACAGTGCGGCACGCTCTGCACCCCCACCCTCCGTATGCATACGTCTGCGCGTCTCGCTCGCACGTAGACAAACACCCCCCGTGTAGCCTTTAATATACTGTTGGACCAAGTGCTGTTAGCAAGCACCGGTGAAGGCGGACACGGCGAACGCGAGGGGGTGGGCGTGACCAGTGCCACGCGAGGCCACCTTTTTCTCCCCGGCGCTGATTTTGACACATGTTTAGGTCGTGAGTCAAGCGCTGTAACCGCAGAAGTACCTGGCCGCATCAGAGTGTGGTGTAGTGAAATACGCGGCTCGCACAGTTGACCCAGGACAACCGGGGGCAAGCAGGTGCACGTGTGCAACATGGGGTTGCACCGCCACCTAATTAAGGGGCTAAGTGGGTCCACACCGGGTCGACCGGTTGTGCAAGCTGACACCGGAGGTGTTGCCAGGGAGACGGGAGATGAGGGTTGATTAATGGGCTGACAGGCGCCAGCCTGGCTAGCCTTAAAGAGAGACACGAGAGCTCTCGGATGATTGGCCGTAAGATATAAGGAGGTGTGTGAACGGAGCAGAGTTAGCTGTTGCTGGGGACAAGAGTGAAGACATCTCATCAACGGACCTCAACCCTCACGAGTTATCTTAGGAGCAACACTTTATTTACACAACGGGACGTAACACAACACGATCTACACTCGGGTCTCGAATGCCCATCTAGCCACGCTACGGCAGAACTAGACACGGTTCGCTATCCCGGTCCGGACCACGAGCTGGGTCCTGGACCGCGTGGCTAGAGGCTTCTTCTCCCCGACGTGGATCTTCTTCACACGAGCGAAACACGAAGAACCCCGAGCTCCTCACGGGGCCCTCGTTAAAATGCCCCCGGGCTGGGGCTGGCTCCGCCCCTCGCCCCACCCACGTTCCAGGTCTCTCGAGCTCCTTCTCGAAGGTTCCCGAGAGCTCCTTTGGACCACGTGACCGCCCCACGGCCCCCGTCCACCGGTGGCCCCCCTCCAATATCATCCGGTCACGTGTCAGCAGGTCAACCAGCGCATCATGCCCCAACGTAACCCTGGCTGGCTGACGCTCCCTCTCGCTCCCTTACTGGGAGCCCGCACCGCACGCTGCTAGCGGTGCCTCCGCGCTAACCAGCGCTCACCCAAACCCCGCTAGGGCTGGTACTACATCCCGTAACCCAGGCTGCCCATAATGACAACACATTACCCGCCGTGGCTTCGCAAGCCCCGGCACCACACAGTGACAAGCACAGTCACTACACAAGAATAGGTAAATGAAGTGTAAGCAGGTGACTTGTTACAATGTGTCCGTCTGAGTGATTTTACAAGACACTGCAAGAGTCTTGCCAGAGATTACGTCAATGTTTGTGAAACGGGAGCCATTTACCCACGCTTATGACAGTCAACGGGCATTGAATCGTGTGCAAGTATCGCTTGTGTATAAGTGCATTAATAAAGAGAGTGCAAATGATAAGCTTGGCTAATTGGGAAAATAAAACCGTACAAAGGAGACAAAAAAACAACAACAACAACAACAATACAAACGAAACGGTGAAACGAGATGGATATAATACATCGTGGAATCGAATCGGAGTCCTGTTGCCACGACAATTAATCTGACCGCAGAGGAGGGTGACTCACGAACTGGCGGATCGTGAAACGTCGTCATCTTGAACCCTTGATTCATATCCAGCCGCCACTCCTCAGATTCCTGACTCACCTGACCGACAAGAAATCTGCGGAAGCTGAGCAGGTTTCTGTTTGGCACGAACATGCTTGCTGTTCATTCTGAGAGAATTTCGTTTCCACTCTGTTTTTCTATATATCCTGATGCCGGTACCCCTGGGTACAAAAATAATACAAAATGGCCGAGGCAATTAAATATTTTATTTCTGGAACAATCTTTTTTCCAGGGGTGAACTTAACTCCTCGACTGGGGTACCAACCAATCCAAAATCAGTGCTACTCCGCGATGTCGAAACACGGCGAGGACGATTGCGCTGAAACCCTGAACGCTCGTACGACAGAGGTCGCAATCGGGTACCCGATACCCGTACCCCACCCGGTACCCGGCTACCCGTACCCGGCCGGGTACAGGTACCCGTTTGCGACCCTGGTGCGGCCGGGTACGGGTAAGGAATCAAAATCCGTTTGTGACCTCTGTCACACGCACCGTAGTGGTGCCTCATGTCCAGCTCGTCGAGATGAGTCGATTGCCGCATCGCCGACCATCACCAGACTAAAAATTACTGCATCACGGACATAAGGTTCATATGTAGTGACTGACTTGGAGACGTAACGTCTTGAAGGCAATTATGTAATTAAACAGCGAGCACACTGTTACACACACTCTCTGCTGTTACACAACACTCTGTGTCTCGCTTAAACGCAACTCTACTCTGGTTGCTAGCCTGCAACGCAACGCTCGCCGTCTGACACTGACGGCGCTGGACTAAGACAGCCAACTACGTCTAGCAGCGTAATTATCAAGTGGATGACGACAGCGGCCAAGGCAACAGCGACGACAACGACGACGAGGGGATCCCACTCCAACGACGGCCCCGATCTCCCACCCGGGGTCACCTTTTATCCTGTTAGCGTGGCCTCACTCCGCCTCGGCCACGCCACGCTTCTGAAACCTACGAGCGGGGCTCTCGACGCGTCCCCTCCGTAACCTTTACCCTCGATCCCTCTCGGGTCTGTCACGTGGCCTGCTGTCAGTCAGGGCTGCTTCACTCTGCAGATCCCCTTCCCTGCCAGCAG